CATTATATATATATATGTAGATTAATATAATTTTAAAANTAAAGGCAGAGAGTATTTACAGCTGTATCCTTAGAACCCAGAGCATGAAACAGAACATATGGTTAATAACTAATTTTTGAATGGATGAATGATTCAACCAATCATCTAGGGATTTAAGAGTGTTGTGGAACAAACTCGGCAAGAAAGGCTTCAGACCCTCGGAAGGTAGGAGAGTCAGAAGGTTAACTACACACGGGACCCAGGTGGACTCACGTCCCGAGAATGGGACCCTGTACATGAGTTTGACAGGGTTTTTATGGCCATAGGCTTAGGTTTAATCGTGTATCTTAGACAAACAGCTGTTGTGTTGAATGAATGAACAGATGAAGGAAGGAAGACTTGTTTAACATAGCACAGCAAAACCAATTGTTACCTGAACTTGTTTAATCATTAACTTTAAACTAGAACAAAGAAACAGGTAGATGTTTTATTCTGTTAGAATATAAAACAAGTTTCTCATTGTCCATTAATGTATCTTAAGTCAGTGAAATCTGAGTAATAGTCCAGAAATTGCAGATTTATTTTCTAGTACTGTTTTGTATTGATCTTCGTGTGGCTAGCACCTGTCACAGTGCTTGAAACACGATGTGTTCATAGTGTCTGGTACACACACAAAGTGCTTTTAAAAAGCTTTTGAAGAATTAATAAAATTAATGTTAGTTGTGATAATGTTTAGTGGCCAATTAAAGCTTGTAGGAAGCACCTTTACAGCAATATAAAAGGATCACTGTCAATAGTAATTGTCAGCATTTTCAAAATGATAATAGAGATAATGATGATAATGTTAATGATACATATAATAAAATTAATTAACTTTTGGAGTGCTCATTTTGTGCTACGTTTCATGCTTTAGGTGTGGCATCTCATTTAATTCTTACCAATAGCTGGGAACTAATTTTATTGACAAAGAATTTGAGACTCAGAGGTCAAGTAACTTGCCTTAAGCCACATAGCAAATTATTCAGCATATAATTGAAACATAGTCTGTCTAACTTCCAGGACTCTTCAGGTCTCAGTGTATGTGTCAATACATTCAATTAGTTTTAACTGATCCCCAGAGTCTAAATCAGATGTCCCGTTGTGAACTACTTCTCCTTATGTAGCCCTTTCAAGTTGTTTTTTACTTGATTGTCAATATCCCTTAGAGCTGTTTCTGTAAAGGCAGAGAGTATTTACAGCTGTATCCTTAGAACCCAGAGCATGAAACAGAACATATGATTAATAACTAATTTTTGAATGGATGAATGATTCAACCAATCATCTAGGGATTTAAGAGTGTTGTGGAACAAACTCAGCAAGAAAGGCTCCAGACCCTCGGAAGGTAGGAGAGTCGGAAGGTTAACTACACACGGGACCCAGGTGGACTCACGTCCCGAGAATGGGACCCTGTACATGAGTTTGACAGGGTTTTTATGGCCATAGGCTTAGGTTTAATCGTGTATCTTAGACAAACAGCTGTTGATTTTAGTTCTTTCTCACCCACGTGACTTTTAGGCGAACAGGCAAAATTAGAAATGCAAGTGGGGCAGGTTAGCAAGATTACAAAAGCAGAAATGCCTGCCAGCATTGATTATTAGCTAGGCTGAGTTGGGGTGGGGGGCTGGGAGATAAGCACATTTAGTTACAGAGACATTTTACAGTTAGTTACAATTGAATTTTTGAATTTCTCCCTCATTAAGAGAAGTTTAAATAAATATTTTCTAATAGTATATGATATAATCTGTGGCTGGTTTACTACGGATATAAAATGTGAAGGAAACTAACTTATTTATATAGTAGATTCTATATTAATATTTCACACTGAATATTTTATTTAATACCTATGTTAGGATATTCATATTCCCATTATATATATATATGTAGATTAATATAATTTTAAAAGTATTTATGGTATATAGAATAAATAGGGGGATTGACTATAAATTAAAGCATCCTTGCACCATTTTTGATTTTTCCTACATATGGGTTTTATTTGTTAAGTCTCTGAAGTTATGTAGGACTTTAAACTACACAGTTTTCTGCTGACTGGAATGATTGGAATTTAATATACTGATATTCCTGGATTATGTGGAAACATTGATTAGACTTCAAGAAGGATTTAGAAAAATAACTTCTCATGAAGAAACACTATTAAAATTGCTATAAAATTTTTAAAAGAAGAGTAATTTTGGTATATAATTTTAGATGAGTTAACCACACTATTTTGGAAATAGATGGAACATAGAATTGTGCTCCCAAATCTATGTGTCTGTGTGTGGAAATTTTGAGGGAAATTCAGTATAATACAGGCTTAATTTCTAAATTTCTACCCAAAATATTATAGGATGACTTCTTATTTAATTATGCAAAATATGCTGAAGTTAATTTAATGTAAGCATTGCTTTAATTCTGTCAGATAATATCTTGAATATTAGAAAATATTGATATAATGTCTTTAGAAATTAATTACTGCAATGCAAACTAGCGTAGTTTCCAAAAGGTAGTTGTTTGGGTCCAAATAATGAATATCCATTAGTTCTTAATGTTTATATCTCTATGCATATATTCTGTTAAAATAAGAAAACCTAATATTAGACTAAAATAAAGCATTCTGATATAGAGACCATGTTGGCAATGTTGCTTAGGAACTACTAATGCTGAAAGACTTGCCAAATATAAGATGATCTCTCAACTGTTATTTTACTTATGTTTTATCCATCCCTGTTTCTGGAAATGGCTTGAGGTATATAATAATAAAAAATATACTAAAATGATTGAAATGGTCCGAGTGCATAGTAAATACCTATAAAATGTTATGATAGTAATATATGTGTGTGCATATATATATAAACAAGTTAAAAATTAAATAAAGAATAATTCATCTTGTGTATTTTCAGGTGAGGCTCATTGACCAAAATAAAGGGCTATGACTTTAATAACAAGTTTATCAAATATATATAGACAACCTCATCTGGTTATTTGTTATACTGTCCCTTGATAACAAGTTAAGGACATATTTTATCATAATATTGTGAAAGCATATTTCAAATGTAGCAACTTAAAGATGTAGTTTTCTGATGATTTACCTTGATAAAACATAGCACTTAAGGTTGTAAAATAATTTTTAGTATATGTAATTTTAGAATACCAGTAACTTTAGCAGATCATTTCAATTAAGCTTTTTAGCAAATAATTTGAAATTAAATACTGTTGGATGTTCAAATGATGTCAAGTGGATATCGACCATGTGCTTCAGCTAAGATACTATGATTGATATTTTATTAGAAGATGAATGAACCTAATATGTATTTCTTCTTAGAGGGCCATGCATGTCTTCCTGAAATGAGTAAAACCGTTTGCCAGGAAGGAACATTATATCTGTTGGAAGCTTAACCATGTGAGGCCTCTGCCTTAGACCTGCTTGAGTTAATTTTTGTAGTTGTCACAATCACAATCAAATATTAAGTAATCACTTAATTAAGTTCCATTATGCATTGTAAGATACATGAACATTTAGACAAAAAGTTCACGTAGCCGTGTAACACAGGTCTTTCTTTTCTGGTTTATAGGCCCCCTTTTCTCCCTCATTGACTTCACGTTCATTTGGTTAGAAAAATGTTTTCTTTTTTTTTCAGTGGTGCTACTAAGATGGCAGAAATGTTGTGTCAGTTTATATAATCCTTAATTTATTTGACTTTGGCATTCCAAAACTATCTGCATATGATTTTTAAGAATCAATTTATATTATATGTTGAAGTCTTTATAAACATCAAGTTTAGAGTAGCTTTAAGATGTAGGCAGATAAAATCTTACTTCATTGCCTGTAGTTCAGGAAATGCATATTGTTATTACGTGTCTTACCCTTCTCTAATTACTGTACAGAATCTGGATACAAAACCAAAAATCATATGAAAGAGAGAGTAAATTCCCCAAGCTTTCCTAGAGTCATCGGTTATTGCTTATCCTTTATTTTATATTTTATACTTATGTAATGCACACATATTTATGTCTCATAGAAATGTATTAAATCTTCTTATTTAATGAAAGATTGCCATCTTTGTGTATTTAATTATTTGGATTTTGATTTGAAGTTTATTATCTCATTCATTTTGATCATGTCTAAAGGCTTTGGATGGATAGTGTTATACGAATTTTGGATTATTGAAAATAAGGAAGCTGAAGCCTAATAAAATTTATGCCCCAAACACTTCTGTGCATATTCTGAGTTCAGTAGATAAAATCATAAGACCCCTGAGCATGCTGCCTCAATGCTGGATTTGACCATATATGCTGACAACACACTGACAACCCCATCTTTGGCAGAACCCCATTTTTAAGGGTGAATGTAAAATGTATTAATGTATTAAATATGTTTGTAGGTTCGCATATGCTTAGAATCTATATATCTTGATATATAGTAATTCAGTTTTTACAAAGTATTAGAATTAGAATTATTGGAAATAGGCAAATAACTGAAGTTAAATAATCAACTATTTAGTGGATTTGAAAATACTTTTCTACTACAGTTGAATATCTATAACATAACGTTTACAAATTTTGCATCTACTCTAATCTGTTTTGCATGATCCAAATCTCATTTGGCTATCTCAGACTCCTATAGTCCTTTGATTGGCTGGCTGGTACGGGGTGAACTGACCAACTTTCTTCACTTTCTTCTCATTTGGCTATCTCAGATTTTCTCTACAGTCATTTATATGTGTGAGTAGGCAAGGATATATTTTGACATTTGAGCTAGCAAGTGCTACGGAATGTCTGTAGAGAGTAATTAAATAGAGACAAGGGTCTTTTTATACTGCTGATGGAGCTCTCATTTAGTGACTGAGCTGTTGTGATCTTGGTTGATGATGGAAGAGCAAAAATATTTGTGCTGCTAATCATTGAAACCGTTTTCATTCTGGTGTTGAATATGTTCTTAAAAATAGCAATAAACATGCAAATGCAAACATGTGTATTTTTTCCAGGACTATAGGGTTAACATCTTCCTGAGACAAAAATGGAATGATCCCAGATTGAAGCTCCCTAGTGATTTTAGGGGCTCAGATGCACTGACAGTGGATCCCACGATGTACAAGTGTTTGTGGAAACCTGACTTATTTTTTGCAAATGAAAAAAGTGCCAATTTCCATGATGTAACCCAGGAAAATATCTTGCTCTTTATTTTTCGGGATGGAGATGTTCTTGTCAGCATGAGGTACTGATTCATATTTAATATTTGTACATTTATATTTTTTTCTTTTTAAGTCAGTGGATCACAGAGAAGTATAGTAAAGGATTTCTAAGAACACTGTTTCTATTTTCAGGTTATCTATTACTCTTTCATGCCCTTTGGACTTGACGTTGTTTCCCATGGATACACAACGTTGCAAGATGCAACTCGAGAGCTGTATGTAAATGAGACCATAAGTGACTATCAGAATAAAATGCTTAAAATTTCTAGGCAAAACATTCTACTAATATCTTGTATAACAGTGGCAAAACTAATGTTTTTGATTACAATTAGCCATTAGAATAATCTATTTAAGACAATTATAGTTATTCTTTTGCTACATTAATTTGTATTAAGATAGACAAATCCTTTTTGTACTAGTCGAATTTGAGTTCTGTTGATATAGGTGCACACTTCTAACTTATTCTAATTACCATCCTCATTTGAATTAGTAATACAGGTAAGGTAAAGGAGAAAATTATGTTCCAATTTAAATAACCTTTTTAATGTTAAAAACCACAGTTTCATAGGAGAAAATTTAGAAAAATATTTTGTAAATCCAACCAGGCATTCATTTTCTATGGATGTAAAAAAAAAATTTTTTTTAAATTTTCTCACAAAATTGAATTTTTTATGTTTTTATGATCGTATAGTTTTTCAGTTTATAAAATATGCACTAGATGTATGAAAGTAAATTATTTATCTATAAAATATATTAATTTAGTATGATGCTTATCTTTTGAAATAAAAGTAGTATGAAATCCTTGAAAAATTAACACTGATGTTGTAAGGAATCTTTAGCCCGAATACCTGTATTCCATGACCTATTTCTGCAGAAAGAAAAGATAATAACCTTGTAAAATATCTTGCACAGTTTGCCAGATTATATGCTTAAAGTTACTTTGTGGTTATTTGATGTTTTTTCAAAAATGTACTGCAGTGGATCCTAAATTTGAACAATATTTATTGCTTTTTTACTATAAAATGAGATTTTGCACATGTAAGTGTATGCATGTACGTGTTTTCATATATTATATATGTATGTATGCCTTTGTCAATATGTATTTGTATCAAAAATTCAAACTGCATATTTACATTTTAATTCTATTCCTCGATGCACTAAAATATTGCTTAAAAAATGCATGCACATTAGAGTTCAATGGTAGACTACCAGACTCTATAAACCTCTTAATTGTAGCCACATTACCTAATCCCAGAATATATGCTTCAGGATACCAAGATGATCCTGTAATGATATCCATTTGAGCAATTGCTTTATTGCTCTTCTGTGTTGATGCAACTCCTTTAGGGAAGTTTGTAATGATTTCTTCAAAAAATTAAGTGTTTCAAGGGTTACATTTCTTTAAAATGTTCCAGGTAGCATATTACATGATTATAAATGTATATATTCAGAAAGCTTGCCTCACTTATATATTACCTTGTTATTGGTGAAAGTTAAGAATTCTGACATGGAGAAATGAATTACTGTATATGATGCAGTTTAGCTATTTGTAACATGCTGATTATCTTAACTTGTTCTTTCTTGAAGATGATTGTGTGTAACTCTTGTGCTAGTATTTTCATTAGTGGCCATACATTTTACCTCTTTACTTTTTAACTACAATATCATATAGGAAGTTTCTATTTTCTTACCTTTGCTATGTTTAATATTTGGATTGTTAAAACCCAAAGAAAAAGAATTAATAAGTATAATTACCTTTATTTCACACTAACATTTTTATTTATTTTTGTTTTAGTTGGTTACACAACTGATGATTTACGATTTATCTGGCAGTCAGGAGATCCTGTTCAATTAGAAAAAATTGCCTTGCCTCAATTTGATATTAAAAAAGAAGATATTGAATATGGTAACTGTACAAAATACTATAAAGGCACTGGTAAGTAATATTCTTTAAACAAAACTAAATTGTATTTCAAAGATTCATTTTAATGTTTATATATGCTAGGGGAAGAGTAGAAGAAAAGTAGTTAAAAAATAAGTTCAGTATAAGTAGTTTATCTGTCATTCATATTTTGAAATTTTTTACAGAATTATATTCACTACAATTTTTTGAAGTCTTAGTTACTAGATAGATATGCTTTACTTTATGCAATTCAAATAGAGGTTTTACAATTTTTTGTTTTAGAAATGCAAACCCTCCCAGGCAGTGGTTTTCTTAGATGAGATGATGCCAAGAAATTCTTCTTCTGGCAAGATTCAATTTGGGGCTAAACATTTTGGATGTGAAAAATGTAATCTATATATATATATTCATCCATTGTCTTTGGGCAGTTTTTGGATGGCGGTTGGCCAATATTTTTAATTTTAAAAAGCCTTGATCATTGTGCCATGTAAGAGGCCATTAGAATGTGAAATAATTGGACATCAGTAAATATTACCTGTACAGTCCTTCTTGGCCTAGGTCATGCAACAGCCAAGTATGAAAAGCAAAACAAATTAACCTCATTCATTAAATTACATTGAGATTTTGCAGAAAATATGAGTACTCACTACTCAATATTGTCATTATATGATTAGTCTTCAACCTTTGAGTCTCTACTGGCAATTATAGGTTATTGAGGGTTTTTGATATTGAATGTAATGTTATTTCACTTAGCAATATAAATTAAAGGTCATTGAATTTTAATTATTACATCAGTAGTAATAATTAGTCCAACTTGTAAATTGCTATGCAGTTTTAATTCTGTATCAGGAAGCAAATTATGACAAATGATATTCAGGAATAGATATAATTAAAGTTTGAGTTTATTGCAACATTTATGTGGTTTTTCAAAAATAAAAATGTATATAGTGAAATTGTGTAAAATTAGAGAAATCAGATATTTGAGCTAGAATGCTGCCATCATGACAGCTTCAATGACAAAATATAATTTAAAACACTCCTGTTGATATTAAAATAAGAGGTAGAGTGGATGTTTGCATATTTATAGAGTTAGAATAAAGGCAAGTTGGGGATAAAGTTAGTTTCAGCATCTGTTATTGTTCACTTTCAAATATATAAACAGATTATATGACATTTATGTAAGTAGTTTTTCACTTATAGAACTTTTAATACATTAGGACAAGAGAGAAAATTTATTGCTAAATAATTATCATGTTTTTAAAATTAAAAACTTAGAGTGCTTAAAAATTTGACCATCAAAGAACTCAATAAAGAAGTCATAGATACATAGATTATTAGACATGGAAGTGATTTTATTGATAGTTTTGAACTAGCTCCTTTTTTAACACAGAAAATAACTGAGGCAAGGGAGGTGACTGAATGACTTATTGAACGTCACCATTCAAATCAGTGTCAGCCTAGCATATCATTCCATCACCCGTCTGTACTACTCCTTGAAATTAAGATGACTGTGGTTTTTAGGAATTTTACAACTCATCTAACAATGAAAAAAATAGTCTTGAAAGTCAGGAGAAGTTCTTTTGGGATATTAGGTAGGAACACTTATTTAGTAGATACCCTCTTGAGTCCTAGGCATTGTTTTAAATGCTTTGTAGGAATTGTATAATCTAATACTTAAAACTGCCCTATGAGTTAAGCACTTTCATTATCCTCATTTTATACATTAGGCTTATGGAACAGACACTGGTGCTAGGTCATACTGTTACTGAGGGATGCACAGGGATAGTGCAGCTGATATTGTTATACTACCTGTGGAGTCCTGTTACATTTGGAAGTAGTTACCCACATCCAGATTATATGCTTAATATCTCAAAATGAATAGTGCCTAATTTTCTAAATTTTGAGAAATTTGAAAGAGACCTATTGAAGTTTTAAACTTCACCTAGAGGTGAAGATAAAACTAGCAATTTTGTTTTTGTTATAGCATAAAATTATATAACAGCATTGTACTCCTAGGGGTTATTGGTTTTTCACTTTTAAGCCCTACTTTTAAAAATATTCATTTGGGGACTCAGCAACAAATAAAAGTCAGGTTCATGTTCTTTGTAGAGTCATATTTCAATGTGAGAAATAAGTGAAAAAAGTAAACATGATTCATTTCAGTTCTTAAAAGGAAATAAGGAAGTGTGCTATGGTAGAGACAATTTTGGGGGTTTACTCAGGAGTTACAAGTAAAGATTTTGTGGTATCTTTTAAGTCATAAATAAGTCACTGAAATCTTATTAGCTACAGAAAATAACAAAAAAAAATTATGGCTCACTTTTTTTGGCGCTTACTGTGTTTTGGGTACTTTATCCACATTTACATGATTCATCTTATGAATATAAGTAAAACGTATTACAATGTTTGGGTAATATTTAGACATCTGTTTAGAAAAATTGGCCATCCAAAACATATGGAATGCTTAACAATGTAGAATACTGGGAAAGTGTGTGTGTGTGTGTGTGTGTATATATTTATATAGGTAATGTATATTAAATGATAGCCAATAATTTGTACAGAAATAGCTTTAGCTTTGTTAAAGTTATGCTTTTCTATGATTTTAGAAATAACAGAAATTGAGAAATATATGGGAAAGCAAGTATATAAAAATACCTAAATTGAAAGCCTGAGTGAATAATGGAATGAAACCTCACAGGAAATAGAAAGTAAATTGAATTTGCCCAGTGAACATTTATATCAATTAGCTGCCCACCTGCCTCTCATAAATGCAACAGTTACCAAGAAAAGATCAAAAAAGATCAAGAAATGTTTCTCATAAAAGTTTATGGAGCAAATCACTATAATATTCAAGCATGTATGTTACTGCTAAATGCATCCCAGTCTCGTGAAGCTCCCCTAGTGGGTGCCTCCATAAAAGGGACATGGTGGAAACTTGCTTCAAAACACAGGACGCGTGCTGTGCAGGCTGTCATTTAAGCAAAGCAGGATGAAATGCAAAGTTTCACTTTAAAGTGTGCCACTTTATTGTAAACTGTTATAATATTTGTGGCAACTGAGGCTATCAAAAAATATAATTTATTGAGAGGCTCATATGTACTGTTCTCCATTTCGTATGCTCTAGGTGGTTATAAAATTAACTTCAATGAGTGATGCTTTTGGCAACTGAGGCTATCAAAAAATATAATTTATTGAGAGGCTCATATGTACTGTTCTCCATTTTGTATGCTCTAGGTGGTTATAAAATTAACTTGAATGAGTGATGCTTTCACTAAGCAAAGTTCTTCAGAACCAGTTTGTGGAAATACTGGGAGCCTTCTTAATTGTTGCCGTTGTACTTATGAAGGATTGTATTTGCAAAATATTGCACATGATTGTTAGTTCAACACATAAATTCTGGTTTGTCCAAACAGGAAGTTAAGACGAGTGGTGGGGAACTGAAAAGGCAGGGACATTTTTCGTTTTGATTTTTCTTTCTTAAAACCTATGAGCAATATAATATATTACCTAGTTTTAATGAAATTAGAATTAGAAAAAAGAAACTCTCCATTTCTTGTTTTTGATGTAATATGGAAACATTTGACATAATTAGAATTTACTTCAGTTCAAATTAGCTGATTATTTTTGTTACATATTTGCTCTATGATCTTTCTAATCTCTCAGAGGTAGCGATGATTATAGTTTGCAATGGAAAGAGGATAGATTTCTAATCGAAGTTATTTATTGAGGATATAAAATAGCCATTCTTTTATTCGACATTTATTAAGACCTTGTTGTGTCCAAGTACTTCTGTAGGTAACTTTAATGAATAAATATGAGGATTATTCTAGTGTCAGAAGTATGTATATTCTTCCCAATTAGGAAGACTAGATAATTTTTTTTTTAACTGTAAGATAGTAAAAAAGTAACATTATCCTTTCCCCATAATTGTTTCATTTATTCACAATTCATTAATTTATTTGTTTCAACATATTAAAATAGTTATGTACAGTTTAAACTAAAAACAAATAGAGATATTTTAAGTTTTTGATAACCTTACTTTTGTTAAGTGATAAATGACATTCTTATCTAAATTAAGCATTTTAGGATTTAAATGTTATATTTAAGTTCATAACTGAAAGAACCAAAACATTTAAAAATTAATCTTGAACAACTAGAAATTTCTATTCCCGTGGAGTGTGATGTGAATATTTGTTGTCACTTATCTGCTTTCTCAAAGCAGCAGAGGCTATTATGAGGCTGCTCGTTATTTATGATTAATTTGGGGGCTAGTTGATGTCATGGCAGCTCTGGAATTATGTTGTAAAGCAATTTCTGCATTTGTCTCAGCGTGTAAAAATGAAAGCCTTTTCCCTCAATTAGAGTAAATTTAAGGGCCTGGAGTGGAGGAAGGGAAAAAAGAAAGAGGAATATCAGATACTTGCACTTTACAATCTTTTACGTATATAGACCGAAAACTCTGATTTCTTATCCTTGCTAATGTTAACTTCCAATACTTTCTTAATTTTTTAAGTTTTAACTATACGTGTGAGTTACTGTAGAATGTCATCCATTCTAAATAAGAAATGGTATGTGTGGCTAAAAAATTCTACTGACAATGCGTGGTCCAGGAGTGTTTCTTTTTAAATTCGTTTTGCTTTGATTTACTGCTCCCTACATGACTCCTTTAGATCATTTGCCCTAAGAGTACTCATGGGTAAGGAAAAGTTTAACTCTATTGCAAATTATCTACATAAAGACTTAAAAGCCTAGACACTGACATAGTGGAGCAGCATGTGGGATCTATTTTTCAATGTCATAATGAAGTTGCAAAAGGTCAGGTGAAACAGGTTCCATAATGTCACCCTTTTAGATCACATAAATTATATAGTATTTAAAGAAAAAGCTTTTTTTGTGGAGTTTAACTTTGTGAAATTACCTCCAATAGAAGTGATTTACTGTTTACAGGTACATTATTGATTTCTGCAGTTGTATGTGGGTGAGAACCTCCTACCTTTAATGTGTTTGTTTCTGAAAGGCTACTACACATGCGTGGAAGTCATCTTCACCCTGAGGAGGCAGGTCGGGTTTTACATGATGGGTGTCTATGCCCCGACCTTGCTGATTGTGGTTCTCTCCTGGCTGTCCTTCTGGATCAACCCAGATGCCAGTGCTGCCAGAGTGCCCCTAGGTAAAGTGTTTCGTGCATCCCTCCCACAGGTGGAATATGTCATCTCTTTATATAAATGGCTGTAATCAAATATGTTGAAACAATGAGTTTCGGAATTGATGGAAACCTATTTTATTTTTTAGGCTTCTTTCAAAACTTAATCTCAAACTCGATTTTGTCATTGCTTATGTGCTGTATAATTAATCTAAGGTTTTCTTTCTGTGTCTTCAGGGTATTTTAAGCAGTTAATTTGTTCTATTTTTTCCGTCATGAAATAATTATTAATATGTTATTTTCACTGATAACTAAAGTCTAAAATCTTTAGCAGTGCCAATGTTAAAAAGAATAACTATTTTAATGTAATCTTTCTAAATAATATTATTTATTATCCCATACTCTTAGTCAGGGAATAATAATATAATTTATGTTTTTAAAAATTAATTAGCATCATCTTCCTAAACACCCAATTTTGTGTGCTGTATCATCAGGGGTGGCTAGAGCAAGTAAGGACTGGTTGTCTCTCCCTTTAATGCCATACTTTCCAATTTATTACTTTTGATGCTTTGTGACTTAGAAGCACCATTAGCCATTCTTTCAAAAATAATATTTGAATAAGGGCTTTTCAAGTCTCTGCTTGAAGAAATAAGCAAGAACCCTTCCTTTGTATGGGCAAAGTGAATAAATTTCAAAATATGGACAATATGACAACAAATTTTGATTGTTCAGGGTGTTTAAAAATTTTTTATTACACCGTGTTTTTGTGCTTGCCTCTGTGTGTGCACGCATTTTCTAAATATCACCAGGAACTCATATAGGTAAGGCTGTGATATATCTGCCCACTCAAAGAGTGATAGGTTATCACATTTAATTTTTTGCTTCCATTAAAAAGGCCTTGTGCAAATCTCCCTCCTGACTTACTGAAGGAATTACATGAAATACGGATTTTCTAGAGTAGGAAACCAGGAAAGAAGCAATGGAAATGACTATGTTATCTGAATAAGAAATTTGATGGTTTACATCTAATAGAAATCACAAAGATCAAATCTATATCTTACTAACAAAAAATGTGGGATATTTCATTGTTAAGGGTTATGTATTTCTAGTGAAGACAACTTATAGATTAATTCCTTTAGAGGATGAAAATTAACTATATATTGTATTGTACTGGAAGAATAACCCCCAAAATCTAGATTTAAATTCTTAGACTTGTCAAAAATATCATTCATTTCCCCCAAACAATCATTTTTTAATCAGAAGTATCTTATGCTCATGTGGTGATATAAATTTAAATGTCAGGCTTCCAAGGGTACTTTGGAGACATCCCAGTTTTCTGACGTATCCTTTAAAGATTTTTCTCTGTAAATCCCCATTCATTTCAGAACTCCTGATACGAGGTCTCTGAGTTGTCAGTTAACATCCAGGAGACCTGTTTTGTGGGGTAGCAGTATTTAATGGTTGAAAGTCAATCTCTAGAGTGCTACTCAGCTTTTCCAGCTCTGTCTTACTAGCTGTGACAACTTGGGCAACAGATCTAACTTTTTAAACATGACTCTGCTGAAATACCAGCAGAGATGATAGAAGTAGCCAAGAATTTACTGGGAGGATCTAGAAAATGACTATAAAGCCCATATTACATATTCAGGAGTTAAAAATATGCTACATTTATATATTGCTTTACAGTTTTCAAAACATTTCTACATATTTTCATTCATTCATTTAACAAATATTTATCTTGTGCTATGTGCTAGGTACTATTCAAGAAAATAGGGATGAAGTTAAAATAAATAGGTCATGGTTAGTTAATGAAATTGATTAAAACACATTTATTAGCCTCAATGAGTTTACATGCTCTTAGGATGAAACAGACACCAAATAAATACATGTAATATATAAAACAGTGAGATAGGGATAGTGAGTTTGGGGGCCGTGACCTGCTTTTCAGAAAAGGTCTCAATAAAAGGGATATTGCATATATAAATGAAGGAGATGAAGAAATGAATCATATGGATATCTAGGGAAAGAGTGAAGTATGGGCCTAGGCAGTAATAATCAAGGCAGTGTTCCTGAGACTGGAGTATTGTGGGAAGAAAGAGGCCCATATGGCTGGAGCAGAGTGAGTTAAAGGGAGGGTAGTGCAAGATGAGGTCAGAAAGGTAACAATGGTGAGGGCTGGACCATGTGACAACTCTTAAGGCATTCTGGTGGTTGGACTTTTATTTAGAGTGAAATATGAATCCCCTGAAGGCTTTTGAACATAATCTCACTTAAATTTTAACCAGACCTCTTTGCCTACTTTGTTGAGAACAGACTGACATGGGGCAAGGGTGGAAACCAGGAAAGCAGTTAGGAGGCTTTTGCAATAATCCAGGTAAATAATTATGGTATAAGATGGGGAAAGTAGTGCAGATGCTAATAAATATTAGATGATGGCTTATAGAGAGGGTAGAGATAAAAGTATCTGTGCGTGTGTTTTATGAGGGATTTAAGAAAGTAGAATCAAAGTTGACTTCAAGAGTTTTTTGGCTGAAGAAAAAAACTAGGAAGATGAAATTGATGTTAACTGAGATGGGAACAGCTTACAAGACTGTGGGTTATGAGAGGGTGGCTGACCAGTGGCTTTGTTTCAGATGTGTTAACTTAGAGATGTCTGTTAGGTGGAGATATCACATAGGAAGTTGGATGTACAGGTCTAGGGTTTCTTGGAGATTTCAGGGCTGGAGTAAGAATTTAAGATTTGAAAGAGTGTACAAGGTCTTTAAAGATGAATCTGAATGAAACCACAGGGAAGTAAGTAGAGAAGAAGTCTACTTACGAGAGGGACTGAGAAAATGGGGAACAACCAGCATGATGTGGTTTTTGAAGCCTAGTGGAGAAAGTGTTTCTAAATGAAGAGAGTGATCAACCAACTGTCTATAAATCAAGTAAGTTTAGGACTAAAGATTGCATGAGATTAAGCAAGCTGAGGAAGTCACTGAGGACAGTTTTCATGAAGTGAGAAGAGTGGCTTCAGGAAAGAAGAGGAGGGGGGTAACTCTCTCAGTAGAAACAACTCACTGGAGAGTGTTGGCTGCAAAAATAGCCAGGGTTGGAATAGGAGTTCAAAGTGTTTTTGGTTTTTATTTTTTAAAGTAGAGGAAATCATAGTGTATTAGTCCATTCCTGCTGCTTATAATGTAATACCGGAAACTGGGTGATTTATAAAGGAAAGAAATTTATTTCTTATAGTTTCTGAGGCTGCAAAGTCCAAGGCCCAGGGAACACATTTAGTGAGGGCTGCTTTCTGGGTGGTGACTGTCTACTGCAATGCAGGTTATCACATAGCAAGAATGTCCTGTGCAAAAGAGAACTAACTTCCTCACTTACTCTGCTTATAAAGCTGTCATAACCATGCACATGACCACCCATTAAACCTTCAATGGATGAATCCATTTACAAGGGCAGAATCCTCCAGATCCAATCATCTCTTAAAGCCCCCACCTTTCAAATACCATAATTGGATTTCCCATCCTTTTTAGCACTGTTACAATGGGGATCAAGTTTCCAATACATGAGCTTTTGGGTGACACATTTACCCATAGCACATAGTATGTTTATTTTTGATGGAGGACAACCAGTAATGAAGGAAAAACTGAAATGGAAAAGTGTAGGAGCATTGTCTTTGAGAAAGTTATATGGGATGAGATCCAGGAAATGGAGGGATTGGCCTTTGCTAAGAGCAGAGTGGGCTGTCCCAGGGATCAGCAAACTCCTTCTATAAAAGGCCAGATAGCAAATATTTGAGGTTTGTGGGCCTTATAATTTTTGTCATACCACTAAACTCTGCTGTTATAGCACTAAAGAAGCCTTAAACACTGTGTAACTGAATGGGTGTGGATCTGTTCTAACAAAACTTTATTTATAAATATAGATGGTAAGCCAGATTGGCCTATGGGTCAGAGTTTGTTGATCCTGGTCTATAGTATTAGGAGAGAAGGCAGCATATATGGGTGCACACAGCAGTTGGCGGGTAGATATTTAAATGCTATATGAGTTACCCTTCTCTTATTTGGTGAATTATACCAATTGATTTCTAGATGCTAGATAAGTTGTGAATTATTAGCACAAAAAAATATTTGTAATACTTCTTTTTCCTTTTAATGTCTGGCAGTAGTGATATCCCACATTTCATTTCTGATATTGTCAAATTGTGAATTCACTTTTTTTTCTTGATCACTCTAGCTAAAGGGTTATCAATTTTATTGATATTTTCAAAACTCTAGCTTTGATTTTATTGTCTCTAAATATTTGTTTATTATCTTTTTTGCAGATTTTAACTCTTATCTTTAGTAAACTTCCTTTCTACTTACCTCAGTTTTAATTTTGTTCTCTTTTTGAATACTTAAAGTTGGACTCAGATAATCAATTTTAGATCTTTCTTCTTTTCTAATATGAGCATTTAGAGTTAGAAATTTCCCTGCAAGTACTGCTTTAGCTTCAATTCACAAATTTTGGTATATAGTATTTTCATCTTTCAGTTAAAAATATTTTAAAATTTCGGGCCCGCCCGGTGGCGCACTGGAGAGTGCGCCGCTTGGGAGCATGGCGGCGCTCCCGCCGAGGGTTCGGATCCCATGTGGAGACTGGTTCCCTCTCACTGGCTGAGCACGGTGCGGGCACAACACCGAGGGTTGCGATACCGTTTCTGGTCCCCGGTACGGGCGCGACACCGAGGGTTGCGATCCTGTTACCGGTCAGTAAAAAAAGACAAAAAGGAAAAAAATATATATTTTAAAATTTCTTTTGTGATTTCTTCTTTGGCCCGTGCAGTCTTTAGAAATGTGTAGTTTGAATTACAAATATTTGGGATTTTCCTAAGCATCTGAATATGATTGCTTTCTAATTTAACTTCATTTTTGTCAGAGAATATAGTTTTTGACTTCAAACCTTTTTATGTTTGTTGAAACTTTTTTTTAATGGCCCAGCCAAGTGTATGCCTCCTGATAACCATACCAAGTGCACTTGCAATGTATATTTGTCATTGTTGTGTGTTGTGTTCTGTAACTATTGGTATAGTCAAGTTGGTTGATAGCACTTTTTAAATCTTTTATCTCTTTTGTTTAATTATTATTGTTATTGATGAGAAGTGTTAAAATTACCAACAATTATGGAATTATGCTGCAGATATTTTGAAGGCCTACTATTAGACAAACACATCGACAAATTTATCTAAAAAGAAAAACAATAAATCATGTTACTGACAGATTAAATTTCAGGATATACAGTTGATGTAGTTGTTTCTACTCAGCATATCTTTTTCTACTTTCTTATTTTTTATTATTATGTTCCTCCAAAGGATTAAACAAAAACAATCAGTTTGCCAATCTCTTTCTATTATGGCTCATGGTTTTTTTATTTTCTAAAAGTTAGGAGAAAAAACATAGAGCATAATGTAATTAATTTGCCCCAGAATCATTTTGCTTTTTTAAAAAAGTAGTTTTGTATTTCTACTTTTATTTTTCTCTCAGCCTTTTTGATTTATATTTCCCATTGTTAACAAACATTAAAGCTTTCTCTGTGAATTTTAGTTAATGACTTTTGTCTTAAGCTATTTCTCTAAGTATCGAAGTAACTATGTGTATTCGGGTTCTCCAGAGAGACAGAGCCAATAGGATATGTATATGAATATATGAGAAGGGATTCATTAGGGGAATTTGCTGAGGAGTCCCATGATAGGCTGTCTGCAAATTGGAGACCTTAGGGTGCCAGAAATGTGGCTCAGTCCATGTCCAGAAGCCTCAGAACCAGGGAAGCCAATGGTGTGATTCTCAATCTGAGGCCAAAGGCCTGAGAACCTGAGGGCGCTTCTGGTGGAGGTCCTGGAACCCACAGGATAGAGAGCCTGGAATTCTGATGTCCATGAACAGGAGAGAAAAGTGTATCCCAACTCCAGTGGATAGAGACAGACATTTGCCTTTTCTTCCAATTTTGTTCTCTCCAGACCCCCAGAAGGTTAGATGGTGCCCACCCATACTGAGGATGGATCTTCTTCACCTAGACCACTCAGACGTCCATGCTAATCTCCTCTGGAAACACCCTCACAGGCACACCCAAAAATAATGTTTTATCAGGTTTTAGGTATTCCTTAATCTATCAAATTGACACCCAAAATTAACCATCATACTATGCAAGTAACTGTGGAAGTAACTTTTTGCAATATTCTAAATAAACTTTACTATAACATTTCCTTTTCCTACATAAAATACTTTATTTACTGCTAAAAGGAATACATTTTTTCTAACATATAACTCTCAATTATATGTATAAAAAGATTAGTAATTGAGGTCACAGTTCAGAGCACTAGTAGACCATGCATGCATAAATTTTCTTTTTCTTATATTATTTTCTTTATCTGGAGCAATTCTTCAAAATCTTTTTGATTACAGGGACTTCTTTTGAAAATGCCAAAATATATTTATGGATTTCCACATGACAGTAGTTTTCCTTTTAGTATCATTTGACAAAAAAGTTATAGAATGACAATTTGCTAATATAATTTAGCAGCATCTTTGTTTTATTAATCACAATATCATACATACCGATTTGGTGATGAGTTTATCTCAGCATGAGATAAATTATTTTGAGTTTCGACAGTCGTTGGTATTTGGACACTTGCAGTTTTTCCTTAACCTGCTCTTTTGGTTCATGGCATTTGCCATACTGACTCTACTTTTCATTTCTTTTCCTTTTTTTTTCACTCTCTGTTTCTTTCTTCTTTCTTTTCTTCTCTAGTTCTTGGTTTTTCTCCTTTTGTCAATACATTCTTAGTCTATATGCTGTTAAAGAATTATTTTGCAGATTCTTCCTCTGAGATTAGCTGGACAAGAAATCTCTGGTCATCCATGGACAATAATAGAGGTTACTAAATATATCTTGAATAATTGAGATGATTTTATCGCTATACAATTGTCTGCATGTTGAAGTGCTAAATAACTTTAACCATAAATCATTTATAGAAGGTTTTGTTCAATTACTCTTTATATAGGTTATTTACTGATATTTTAATTTATACTATTTGTTAGCTTTAACATTTAATAGATATAGACCCTACATCTATTGGTAAGATATTGATATCAATTTTACAACATTTTCCTTCCTTTGAAATCTAGGCTTGATTTATTTTTATTCTATGGAGGAAAAATTCTGACAGATAAGGTCCATATAATTTAAACATGTTTTAGAAGTATCTATACTAAGAAATTCTGGAATTTATTAAAGAGAAGCATGGAGTAATTTATTAAGAACATACATACCCTTATGAATGATGAATTTCACATTTCTTTTATTGGCTTATAATTTATTAAAATTCAGATAGAATTTCACTATGCACTATTTAACAATGAAGTAATTCATGTGAAGGCTATGTTAAGGTAATGCCGAAATATCTGTCCAAAGCAGTAGTATTTGCTCAGATTTTTTTCTTTTAGGATTAAAAAAAAGCAAATAAATGTTTTTTTAATTGTAGTGTGATTTCCTAAAGATAAGGCACATAGTACATGTTCACTTTCTGCTCCTCCTTAACTTACCTTCATTTCTATTCTTACATTGAAATGATAAAAATCTTAATAAAATTGACCATCCTTGTTTCTAGCTTAATGTCTGGAGTTGTCAATACCTCCCTTTCCACGCAAAACCTACGAATGTTGTGTTGCTCCTTTTAAAGACAGTTCCTTCATCTGCTCCTTTGATTCCCATTTTCTTCTTTTTTTTTTTTTCTTTTTTGTGACTGGTAAGGGGATCGCAACCCTAGGCTTGGTGTCACCCGCACCGCGTTCAGCCAGTGAGCGCACGGGCCATCCCTATATAGGATCCGAACCTGCGGCGGGAGTGCTGCTGTGCTCCCAGCGCCGCACTCTCCTGAGTGAGCCACAGGGTCGGTCCTTGATTCCCGTTTTCTGACACCCACTCATATTTACCTCACAAAGTCCTTTCCCTTTCTAACATGACCTCCATTTGAATGATATTGTCTAGTCTTTAATTTCCAAAAGGTTCTTTCAAAACTTCAGGTGCACTGCTCTGTGTCATGATCATTGGCTTTTTGTTTCTTGACTTTTATCTGACCTTTCAGTGTTTTCCTACTAAAGTCATCCTCTGTTCTATAGACTCCTCTTCCCATATTATATTGCTCCAGTCATTCTATTCAGAATTTTGTCTCAATCTGTTTCTTCTTCCTTGAATCAGTAACCAAGTCTTTTAAAATGTTTTCTCTAAAATTCTTTCACCTCTATCCTATCACAATGTAGGCCTTCATTCCCTTATGCTTTGTTTCCTCAACAATTATTCTTCCCCCCAGTTCTATTTTGTGTATCTGTACCAGAGTAATGGTACTCCAACATTATTTCAATAATTTCATTCCTCTCCCACTAATTTAAAGTTTCCTAATATTCTCTACCAAATATTGTATAAAAATATAGTCTGACATTATTCTCTATTTCTCATAAAAGTTTATAATATATAAGGATAAATATTCAGGTAAACACCAAAGTAAAATTTGATAATTCTAGGTTTTGATAAGCATAAAATGTGTTAGAGACACAGAGAATAGTGTCAATGTAGTCTATCCTAATGAATTAAGTAAGGCTTGTTTTTGATAGATTGATGGATTGACTCATAAAATTTGGCAAAGAATAGAAAAATTGATTTGGAAAGATCATTTGCCAAATTAATGCCCAGGGGTATTATTAATTGTAGTTCAGGGCAGTAATTGGCAGCATATTGGATTTTAATGTTACTTTGTACTTACAAGTCATAGAACATTGAAACCTACATATACTTTTAGAATATAGTTCTCTTAATTAATTCAAGCTATTGTACATCTAGTATTCTTTCCATCTGCAGAAGTTATTATATTTTGCTGAAAGCCTTTCTTTCTGGTAAAGATTATGTTATGCTCTTGAACACACAAAAAAGCTTGACACCTTTGAGAAGCTTCTAACATGATACAATTGACAGAAAATACTAACACAGTCCTCACCATTTCAAAGGAAGAGCCATGTGTACACCTTTAATTATTTAGTACTTCTCAGAGGTGGTCACATGTAGAAGAAAAAGAGTACACTCAGCCCAGTAAGTGAGACGGATGCACAGAGCCGAGTGAAACTTGCTTCCTACTTGACTTAAAATGTGTCTCCCTTGACACAGAATGAGGTCCTTTCTGACCCAGTGTGCTACTGGCAGCCTTTGCCAACAGATTGTGTTTCACCATCCTTTCTCCTGAAAATATGAAGGAAGGGAGAAAGAAAGGAGCATGGGAGGGAGGGTGACAGGTGGGAAGAGAAAAAGAGAGACATGGTGTTGTAATTCTTAGGAGTTTTACAATTACCTTACTTAATTTGACATACGACGCGTTACCTTTCCGTATATGCTTAACATTACATAGGACAGAATTTTGTTTTTCCTGGAAAAGTTGGCAGCATTTGTTTCCTCTGAAATAATCAAAAATATTCTCTATTTTGTCTTCTTAGATTTATTTTTATTGTGAACCTTACCAGAAAATTGCCTCATATGTTCTGTTCTTGTTCTGATTTAGTTGTTCAGGAAGATAAAATTCAGCTCTATAACTGAAATCTATCTAAAAACAATCAGAGAGCTCTGTGGTTTCCTCAGAGATGCTCTAGAATAGTTTTAGATATCGTTAATATTTAAAACAGATACAAACTGTGTTTTCACAGCTTGGTTTAAATGTCTATTTATGGAATGCTAAGTATTTACAAATGTCCTCAACTATAATCAATCACCCTTATATTAAAAGTATGTATCTATTATTCCTTCTAGTCTTTGAGCTTTAAAGGGATCTGATGAATTTTTCATGGTCCAAAGAGTGACAATTGCAGCACACTTCCTAGGGATAAAAAGCAACTGTAATTCCTCTTTCTGTTTCTGTAGGTATCTTCTCAGTGCTCAGCTTGGCCTCGGAGTGCACCACTCTTGCTGCTGAACTTCCCAAAGTATCCTATGTGAAGGCGCTCGATGTTTGGCTCATTGCTTGTCTCCTCTTTGGGTTTGCTTCACTGGTGGAGTACGCTGTTGTCCAGGTGATGTTGAACAACCCCAAAAGAGTTGAAGCAGAAAAAGCCAGAATTGCTAAGGCTGAGCAAGCAGATGGAAAAGGTGGAAATGCAGCTAAAAAGAACACTGTGAATGGTACAGGGACTCCTGTTCACATTAGCACTTTGCAGGTAGGAATGAAATTATCCAGTAACATGATTTTCCTCATCCTGTACAGGGTGAGGAGAGAGATACTTTGCTGTGTGTGTGAAAGTTTGATAAAACTGACATTCATGTGTTTTTCTCTCAAGATGAAAAGGAGCTGAGTACAATATACTTTTTGGAGAATGTACTTTTTAGAAAATATTTAAAACACTTAGGTCAAATACCACTTAGGAAAAAACATCAAGGCCTTATTAAAATTTCCACTCAATTTAAGGCTACAACTCTGCTTTGATGGTGACTATTGAATGTGGAAATCTGGCCAGGACAAAGACCCCTGTTGTTTCTCATCTGATAGCCCTTAGTGAAACACTGAGGCCTGCTGGGGCAGCATTGGCCTTCTGCCAGCCCTGAAAACTTGGGGGAGCCTGTGCTCTTGATTTAATCACCCACCGTTCCCCATCAGGTTACAGAGTTTTGTACAGAACATGTCAGGAAGGCTACTTGTTTATTGGATATCTGGCCCATAGGGAAATTATGCCCATAGTCAGGGATCTGTCCAGCCCAACAGTGAGTGGCTGAAGAATTGGGTAGGGTTTCACCCCTTAACCTTGCCTTGTCACTTGGTCATGAATCTAAAAATAGTGGGCATTGCTTCTAGACACAGGTAATGATAAGTCCCAAGGCAACAGGCTGCTTTATGGGTTAAGGTTAGCTGTCCACTTACCCCAAATTGTCCCTGATTGATACCTTCTAGTTGGGAAGACCAGTCAACTGGAAGACCATTTCCATTGAGCTAAGAATGGTAAATTCCACAAGATACTAATAGATCCATACCCTCATACAACCTTGAAAATCTCGCCTTCTCTGCTTGTATTGTTACCCTCCAATACTCCATCAGTTTTCTGACCAGCACCACTCCCCCTACCTATAATGCTTGACAAGCATGCTTCACATGTAGTTCTTAGATACAAAAGCAAATGAAATCTCCTTACAGGGTGCTGCTGGTGGCCTTTTTTCTTTTCCTGTTAAGTTATAAGTTGTTAAATTATTTATACTCATATTCTGAGCTTGAAGTCAAGACCCTCTGCAAATCATTAACTGCCACCTTGATGGAGGCTTCTTCAGGCCTTGTATCTCTTTCACGCTCTAATACTCTTCATAAAGAATAAGGATAAAATTTTCATTAATGCAGAGCTATTGTGGCCTTAAATAAGTCATTTCTTTGATACGTCTTTTCCTTCCATTTATACCCAATATGTTTTTATCATTATACACTAAGTGTGTATCTTGTAGACAACGTATAGTTGGCTTACGGTTTTTAATCTACTCTGCTACTTTTTAATGTTTTAATTAGTATATTTATATCATTTATATTTCATGTAATTATTGATTTATTGATATAGGGCTTTAGTCTACATTACATTTTTTGTTTTCTGTTTGTTCTGTTTTTTTGTTTCTCTATTTGTTTTCCTCCTGTCATGTGTGTTGCTTGAACTTCTTTTTAGAACTTCACTTTGAGCTCTCTGTGTTGTTTTTAGGTACAACTGTCTATAACTTCCTTAGTGGTTGCTGTAGCTATTATGCTATGCATATGTAACTTATCACAGTCTACATATTCTTCATTTTACCTATTTGTGTGATGTGTAAAAACATTATCTACCTTTTTTTTTTTTTTTTTTCCTTTTTGTCTTTTTTCGTGTCCGGCAACGGATCGCAACCCTCAGTGTCGCGCCCACACCGGACCGGGACTGGCAATGGGATCGCAACCCTCGGTGCTGCACCCGCCCCTCACTCAGCCAGTGAGCGGGAACCGGTCTGTATGTGGGGTCCGAACCCTTGGCGGGAATGCCGCCGCGCTCCCAAGCGGTGCACTGTAGCAGTGCGCCGTAGCAGTGTGCCACCGGGCCGGCCCCAAAACATCATCTACCTTTGTATCCCTTTTCCTTTTTCTGTTTATAATTGTCTTCAATATTTCTTTTGCATATATTTAGAACCACATTAGACAGTGTCAATTTTTGCTTCACTTTCAAATATAATTTAGAAAAGTCAAGAGGAGAAGGTAAGCTTATCTATATTTTTGCTTTCTATGTACTTTCTTTCATCCTGATATTCCAAGGTTATGTCTTTTATTATTTGCTTTCTGCTGTTTAGATAATTTCCTTTATCCATTATTTGGAGGAGGTCTGCCGGTGACAGATTCTTTTAGTTTCCGTTTATCTGAGAATGTCTTGATTTCTCCTTCATTTCTAAAGGCTATTTTCTCTGGGTAGGTTTCGGATTGTGGGGTGACAGATGGCTTCTTTTAGGATCTGACAAGTGTTGTGCCACTTCCTTCTGGCCTCTGTGGCTTCTGGTGGGAACTAATCATTCTAATTGCTTTTCCCTATAGGTAAATATGGCACTTGTCTCTGGATGCTTTCCAAAAATATTTGGAGGGGAACTTTAGTGATCAGAAGTTTAATTATGATGTTTCTTTCTGTGGAGTTGTTTGGGTTAATCTTGTTTTGGGTTTGTTCATGATATTGAAAATGTAAGTTTATGTCGCTTGCCAAACTTGGAAAGTCTTCAACTTTATTTCTTTCAGTACTTTTTCAGACTCGTCCTGTTTCCCCTCTCTTTCCAGGACTCTGATAACACAAATGCTAGATTTTTTATTATAGTTCTACATGCCTGAAGTTCTGTCCATTTTTTCTTTAGTCTGTCGCCTCTCTGTTATTCAGATCAGATATTTCCCAGTTCACTGATGCTTCCCTCTGCCCCCTCCACTTTCCTGTTGATCCCATCCATAAGCATTATAGTTTGTTTATTGCATTTTTCAGTTCTAAAAGTTCTATTTAGTGTGTGTGTGTGTGTGTGTGTGTGTGTGTGTGTGTGTAAGTATGTTTTGCTGGGAATTTGTATTTCCTTACCCAGGTTTTCTCTTTTTTTGTTTGTTTCAAGCATGTTCGTAATTACTCATTGAAGCATTTTTATCATGGTGCTTTAATCTTTCTCTTGCTTTCTGCCCCTCCATTTACTTCTCCCTGTCTTTTACCACTTCCTCATTTTTGCAGCTCACTAAGTCCTCTCTAACTTGAACCTTGGTTAAGCAATCTGGAAACAGAAAGTAAGGAAATTCTACAGAACAGGTGCTTTGCTTCTAGTAATGCCATAATCAGCTCCATTTTCTGGTGTGTTCTGGGGCCTCAATAACTACAGAAATTCTCTAGTAACACAGAACATCAATGTGCGAGTGATCTTGGTATCTTCATATATTTCATCAAGTAGGGTATTGATGAAGGAGACTAATTAGAACCACCTTTTTAGAGCATTATAGAACATATTAAAGTTATTTATAAACATGGATATAAAGGATAAGAGGAGTCATGAAATATTAGACTCAATTTTGTTATTTTAAATTTCTCTTTCAAGAATTAAAATAATTAGCCAATGAACATATTTAAGTTCTACATTTTAATTCTGTGTTTTTTGGCTGCTAAAAGAAACACGTTTGTCTAGATTCTGAAATTGCTATGACATTTTGCTACAAAATTCATACAGTGATGCTTAGAGAATTTGAGTTGACCAGAAATTTTAATCCCTAGAAATAAATGTAAATTATTCTTATTCCTTATAGGATGAAATGCACTTTCCCAAATAAACATTGTACCCGTGTAATATTTGTATCCTGAGATAGGCTTTAAAAATGGTAATAACTCCAAAAATAACTTAGCTTTAATGTACACATCAAACTTACATCAAATATAACACTTGATAAATTTATAAGATAATGACTCATGAAAGAAAATATAAAAATGGAAAATATAAATTGTTGCCTTTTTAATTACAGGGATTTTGCTGTGAAAAATATAGTTTTGTTTTCAAAATGCATTTGTTCCAATGTATTTTGCTTTTCAAAACAAACTTTGCCAAATACTTTCAATCAGATCATATGTTATTTATTTTTAGACAAAATAACAATAGTAATTAATGGAAGCATAATGAAATTAAGATTGTAGAAAACTTTCAAAGCTGATTTTTTAAATAATATTATGCTTTCTAAAGAGAGTTATGATAAAAAAGGATAAAAAGATAAATAGTAATTTTTTTAATCTAGTTTTTAGTATGAGGTTTCTCTAATTTGTGGCCTGCATACAATACTATGTCATTATACATATATAACTGGATTTTCTTTTTTCCTAAAGGCAGTGCTTCTTCCCTAAAGGCAGTGCACTTATTTGTTTGTCCCTCATATACTTTTTTTATTCAACAAAAATAGTTGAGGACGTACTGTTGTTAACATCACCCTATTTCCAAAACCCTATAAGTGCCCTACACAAAAATTTTATGAATTTTTATTTGAAGAAAATGGTACCCATGACCACAATTTTAAATACATGAGAAAATAAAAGCTGCTATTCATACATAAATGACACAGTTGTTTACGGTAATGGTATGTTTTTAAAAATAAGAGTTTATTTTTTTTCTGTTAAAAAAATTATAAATATTATTTTTTGATTGACAAATCATAATTGCATACATTCATGAGTACAATATGTTTTGAATGCATGTATGTATAGAATATACAATATGATGTTTTGAATGTATGTATACAATGTGGAATGATTAAATCAAGCTAATTAACATATCCATCACCTTACTTACCTATCATTTATTATGGTGAAACATTTGAAATTTACTCTTAGTTATTTTGACATTTTAACTGTTTAAAATCATATTTATATTGTATACTCTTCTGTACTTTCATATATATATATTTATATGCTAGTAAAGTATAGAATATATTAAAAATAAAAGGAAAGTTATGGTAGTGTAAAATCTCTGATGAACGGGACAAGAAGAGACCAGCCAACTGGTTAATGAATCATAACCTATTTAAGGAGCTCTGAGGACTTTTCTTTTTTCTTTTTTTTTTTTTTTCCTTTTTGTCTTTTTTCGTGTCTGGCAACGGACTGCAACCCTCGGTGCTGCGCTGGATTGCAACCCTCGGTGCTGCGCCCACCCCTCGCTCAGCCAGTGAGCGGGAACTGGTCTGTATGTGGGATCCGAACCCTCAGCGGGAGCGCCGCTGCACTCTAAAGCAGCGCACTGTAGCAGTGCGCCACCGGGCCGGCCCGCTCTGAGGACTTTTCAGTAGGGAACTTAAACCTCCTGTTCAGTTGTGTGACATCATTAAAAATTACTTCTGTAGTAGAGGTTGTCTCCACCACACACACACACACACACACACACACACACACACACACACACACACACACACACTCCTCCACTCATTTTTAATACAAGAATCTTCAAGTACATCTCTGAGAGTGGTTTTAATGAATTAAATGACTAAATACTTAATATGACCAATTCGAAGCTTTTTGGAGTGCTTTTTTATGTTGTTGCTTTAACATCGAAAAACTGTTCTTACCAATGTTTACTACATTTAAATAATTTCTCTAAATAAACATAACAGTTTATATCTACATTTTTAATAATCTGTGTAGGTAAAATCATAGTCATTCAAATTGTTGGCAGAATAGAAGGATATGGTTATATAAATAAAATAGATTAGGAAACTCAAAGTATTTATGTGTAATTTAGGTTATAGTATAATAATTTGGCCACTTGCTTAGTTATTTATAGATACTAAAACCACACCTAAAGGCGTGTAAAAAATATTGTTTATAGTAAATGCATTTCTATAGTAAATTATTTGTTCTTGTTCATGAAAAAGTAAAAATAAATATTAAGTTATGCTTCCTAAGTTTGTAGTCAGAAGCTAGAGTATTCCATTGTTTTGATAAGTGGATTCTAAATCCAAGTTAGTGCATTTAAGTCTTTGTAGTGGTCCAGAATTCTAAAGGGAGGAGAGGCTGGGATACCAAGACAGTCCCTGATTGGAAAGATTGCCCTGACAGGTGGAGAATAATGCAGAAATTTGACAGGTAGAGTCCGTTCTCAACTTGTATTTCTATCAAAGTAGTGATTTACTCTTTACAGAAGTTCGCTGATATGTGGGAAGACTGACACAGTCCTCAAACAACACTAGAAAACTCGAGCTTTAAATGTGGTCTTCTGTCTGGAACAATAATAGGGAAGGGGTGTGTGTGTGTGTGTGTGTGTGTGTGTGTGTGTGTGTGTGTGAGTTTGTGTGTGCATGTGCACATGTGGTGGTGGGGCTTAGGTGGAGGACTAACTTCTGAAAGTCTTTTAAATATTCAATCTTGATAATTTAAATTGGGCAGGAAATAGAGGCCTAGAAGTGTATCTGCGTGTGCGTGTGTGTATGTGTGTGTTTATGTGTATATATTTCCACAAATCACATTTAAAGAGTTTAGATTTTAGTTACTACCTTTGTTCACTCTCTGACTCCATTTATGAGTCCCTCTTTTTTGCAAGGCATTTTGCTGGACATAGTGTATAAATTGATAGGCCTAAAGCCTGGACCTATGTTGATGCCATTCCAATGTAGGTATAGCTCTTTCAGGCCCAGCTGCACCTTCAAATTGGCCTACCGCAGCTAAAACAAAGTCCCATCAAACCAAAACAGGACTGTGTTTCCATTTGGGGTATTTTATAATGAACATTCTCTAAATAAGTCAACACTGGTGTTTCACATCTATTTTTTTCTTTTTAGTATGAAATATTTAGAAGCTCCTCAGATCCCATTCCTGCTTATCAAACATTTTTGTGTACTTTTCTACAATTATGTTTACATAAACATCTTTTTTTTTTTTCCTTTTTGTCTTTTTTACTGACCGGTAACGGGATCGCAACCCTCAGTGTCGCGCCCGTACCGGGGACCGGCAACAGGATTGCAACCCTCGGTGTTGTGCCCACACCGCGCTCAGCCAGTGAGCGGGAACCAGTCTCCACATGGGATCCGAACCCTCGGCGGGAGCGCCGCCGTGCTCCCAAGTGGCGCACTCTCCAGTGTGCCACCGGGCCGGCCCCATAAACATCTTTTTAAAGGATTCTTACGTGATAGGATTTTACACATATGTATACGGTATAAAGCATATAATAATAAAACCAACATTTGTATACTAGCTTGAAAATATAACGTCAATATATGTTCATTATTGGAAAAAAAATTGAAATAACTTAAATGTCTAATGAGGAGAGGGAGTGTGATCGTAAATGCATTTTGACTTGCATTTTCACTCAGTGTGTCTTGGGTATTTTTGCTGTCCACTTCTGAGCACTGCCATCTATCTCTTGCGCAGGAAATACATATCAGTGTTTGTCCAGATAAAGGATAATCTCCTAGTACCTAAAGTACTGCTGGGAATAATTTGTTTTATTTATTGCATTAGGCATATTATTTTTACTAGCCCTAATCTAGCAAATGTAAATAGAATCTACAGAACTAGTCTATGTATTTGTTATACTAATCAAACAAAATCTAGAGTAACTATAACATGCTAACAATGTACAATGACATGGTTTCCTTTTTTCAGTAAAAACTTAGCAAATGTCAGTAGTGAAGATTCCAAATGTGAATCACAAAACTCAGTAGTAATAACAGTGAGGAAATTAAGCAATCGAGACATGAGTTCACTTCTCTGTGGCCTTTTGAAATATCAGTGCTATTCCAAGGCACGGGGAGTTAGCCTGTACCTTTAACCTTTCTAAGAGCATTTCTGATTGCTAGTGAGTTCAGTGAGAAGTATTTTTACTTTTATTTTATTTTGTAGATTATAGGGAATTGATCCCAGTTTAATAATTCAGAAATTAGTAACTGAGTAATCTCTGTAGCATGTGGTCCAGCTGAAGTATTCATAATTCTTTTGTTTTCCCTGAGAAAACAAATTAACAATTAACCGTGGGCTAATTCAATTTTAGCCAAGAAATTGGAGATAACCACCACTAGTAAATCTTTGCTTAATGATGATTGCGTTCATCTTTTATTTTTTGGGAATGTGGTTTAGAGACACAGTCTGTCTCATTGGAGGGATAAACACCTCAGTCATTTATAAACCACCCTATTTGGAAATAGGATTGGTAGGGAAGTCAAAGGTTAGAAGTAACAGAAGATTTCTGTAATCCATATATTGTAGTAATATCATGTGTTAATATCACTGTTGTTAAAATCGTGCTTAACTATTGGAGCAAGGATGGATTTTTATTTATTGGTCTCCCAACTGAGAACTCTTATAAGCCTCATAGCACCTAAAATAAATGTAGATCTGTCCTTTGATTCCTTAGCATAAAATAGCCAATCAAGATCTATTCTATGACATAGGCTTTGTTATTTGGGCAACATTTTAGAGTCCTAGATGCTCAAGCAATCTGATGTTTTAATCGTTTGACTATTATCTCTGTGACTTCTTTGAGACATGAACAAAACCCTCATGTGGAAACTAGCAATTTATAAAATATCCTTTTGAAGGGGTGTGTTTTACAACTAGAAAAATTCTAAATACATACTGTCTTTAATTTTTATTCTCAGGTTGGTGAGACCAGGTGCAAAAAAGTTTGTACTTCTAAGTCTGATCTGAGATCTAATGACTTTAGCATTGTTGGAAGCTTACCAAGAGATTTTGAATTATCCAATTATGACTGCTATGGAAAACCGATTGAAGTCAACAATGGACTTGGGAAATCTCAGGCAAAGAACAGCAAGAAGCCTCCCCCTGCCAAACCTGTTATTCCGACAGCAGCAAAGCGAATTGATCTTTATGCAAGAGCATTGTTTCCTTTCTGCTTCTTGTTCTTCAATGTTATCTATTGGTCTATATATTTATGATAAATCTTTTCCATTTGTATAAAATAAAATCTGATCTCATTGTGACCAGCCCCATTCATAAATGCCAGTCTGTGAAAATGTTTGCATTTTCGTAGCAATATATTGCCATTTTGGATGCTATTTGATTGTAATAAAAATGTGGCACCTTAATTTTGAATGGCAGCATGATCTTGTAATGTCCATGCTCTAATAACGATGTATATATGTATAGGCAAAATATTGCTTTAAGAATAAATGAAGGATAGGCATACTACATAATATAAATCCAAACAATTATCTTCAGTTAGTGCGAACTACAGATACTTCAGATAATTCTGATAATAAAATGATGTGCACGCTGAATCCTGTTGTCACCATTCTATTGTATGTAGTATTTCAAATTTCCTTCCTTGTAACTTTCAAAGAAAGTCATCTTATTCTTGTATGATTTTAGATGATATTATCACAGATTAAACGAAGTTGTATTACATATTATTTAAACGTTGTAAGTAGAAATATATCAGTTATAATTATGCAAGCTCTGTGGAGAAATAAAGTTCAAAAAATTATTAATTTGTAAAATCAGCTCATTTTAAAGTGTGCCTGTGCCATTAAAATACCAGATAATAAAACACAATAAGCATTTTTTGAAACAAAGGGAAGCCTGTATTTACATAAATGCATACTGAATTCTGGCTTCTTATGAAATAAAGGATAAATTCTTTGATTAAATATTTAGGAAAAATATTCTACTTAATCCACTTTAAAACCTACATACATTTTCATGGATTTCATTTGTTGGGACAGAGTACACAAAAGCATTGTGCCTCAAAAGGAATAATACATAATTTAAGTTGGAATGCAGAAATAGACAGGTGATTTCATATCATTTTTATATCATTTTTCATATCATTTTCATATCATTTTTCCAAGAGGAAAAACCCTACTACTAGAAGTAACGAGTTGGAAAAAAAGTCCATAATCATTAAAGAATTTTAACTTTTTAATTTTACTAAAGTGCTTATTATATGTTTTAAGTAAATTTAAAAATGTTTTCTCAGTTAATTTATTTTTTGTTTTATTTGAATATTTTTGGATACGTTACAAAACATTTAAAGATTGAGAAAATAGTATTTTTTTGCTAGACCACTTCTACTTGTATTTTCTTTTTTGCTAAAAGTCTAGACAACTGAGATTTACTTACTTTGATCCTGTTCCAACCTGAAAATAAGCACCAAATCTAATTTTATGAGACCTTCATTTCCTAATAATATCATATCTAATGCACTCTTTCATCTCTGCCATAGTTTAAATTAGAACTATCAGCAATTTATGTAATATAAACATAAGTCCAAAGAAATATATTTACATTATTTGAAATGTTTTGCAGCAGCTGAGAGTTTGTATGGCCAATTCAATAATAAAGTGTATTAAGATAATGTTTATGCAAATCGCCATATGTAATTCAATGATATTCAGTTTATAGACTTTAATTTTTAAAAGATTCTTTCTGTTTTTTTTTCACTGATCATGAAAATTTTTAATGGGATATAATTTAATTCTCTGTAGTCCTTCAGGACCCTCTAGTTGCAAAAGTATAGCCATATGAATAATTTCAAAATGCAACAAGTAACCCCTACTGATGGACTTCAACATACTACTAATACCCCGGGCAGTAGCATTTTAATGGGACTGTGGTAGGAAAAAAAATATGTCTTGAATAGAACTTAAATCATTTAAAAATTGATTTTATTTTTAATAATGATATCTCCTTATAGTCTGTTTTCTTTATTTTTGCAGATTTCATTTGTATAATGAAGTTTGTTCTAGATACAGAGTTTAAAGTGGCAGATGTACTGTATTGAAGACAGGTCTCATTGTATAGCAAATTATTTGTTTTAAATAATGTGAATGAATTCCTTTTCTGTAATATTGTGGCCTCTTAAAACTAATTTAATACTCAATTATACCCAAGTATATATGAGTAAGTATAAGGATACTTTAAAAAGTTTTTGGAAAAATGGAATTAAAAGATAACACAAATCTTTCTATGAGCTTTTTGAAATACCCTAGTATATAAATATATAAGTATATATAAATAGGTATCCTGGGACTAAGTGTGTATATATAACTACAAATGGAACAGTAGGCAATGATCATAGCAAAGATGCACAATTAGTGTCCTCTGATATTTGATTTTCATTAGATAGTCATAAATCTAACTTCTCCCTCCTATTATTCTATAGGATGAGTGTGCCTTAATTTAACTTTTTTTCAAGTGGAAATTTAGGTTGTGGTTTTCCTAATACAGAGTAGTACTACAATAAACATATTGGTACATATATATGTAAATTTCTGTGAGGCAGAAGACAGAAGTGGAATTACTGAGTTGAAAAACGTGTACATATTAGATTCTGTCAGGTTCTCTTAAATTTCACTTCAAAAAGCTGCTAATGTGGATTTTTACCATGATATGCCCAAGCTTGCACAGTAGTCATCTCTTAACCTATTTTATGTCCTGGACACAGTTCTTTTTTTAAAAAAAAAACCTTTTTTGACATTGCAGACTTTCAAAAAAGTTTTAAAAAATTCCAAAGAATTCTCATATATTCTTCATCCAAATTTTCCAAATGTTGATATTTCTCATACTTGATTTATTTTTCTCCCCCTACTATGTGTGCATGGGACTATTTTTTTCTGAAATATTTAAAATCAAGTTGCAAATATGATGTCTCTTTCTCTCTACATACTTTAGGGTATGTTTCCAAAAAAACCAAGTACATTACCCTTTCATAACCACAGTAGTACATTGCATTTATATCAAGAAATTAATACTGATAACATGTTATAGTCTAGAGACCTAATCCAAATTTGCCAATTGTACCACGACTTTTTGCTCTTGTTCAGGATCCAATCCAGGATCACATAGTTTTTTTAATTGTCATGACATTAATTTCTCTGCAATAGAGCTGTGCTCATGGCAGTCTATTGCTCTAACATCTTTAGTGCCTTATGTTGCCCAATGAACTAAGTAAAAAATCTTCTCTCATATAAAATTATCTCTATTAAATGTTTAACTTATCTTTGCAGCCATTCCACACTACTATGCTCTGCTCACATCCTAAATCCCAACCAGACTGATTTTGACCATTTCATATCACATTTAGCAGTGCTTGGTGTACTAAGTTCAGCCAGTCCTTGTCCTCAAGTAGGTGGTTAATTGGATGTTTCACTGTTTCCTTTAAGTGGACCAGTCTTTGATGTCAGGTATCTTCAAATACTCATTTTAACCAATATGTATCTTATCCAGCATTAAGTGTTTTTTAGTCATATGATTTCATCTCTAGCCCTTTAAGTGGACCAGTCTTTGATGTCAGGTATCTTCAAATACTCATTTTAACCAATATGTATTTATCCAGCATTAAGTGTTTTTTAGTCATATGATTTCATCTCTAGCCAATAATGAAGTCAAAATATTTTCCGTTACATATGCAGTACTCAAATTAAGCTGCTCTAAAAACAACTCATTTATGATTATCTATATTACTGAAAATTTCAGTTCACATATCCATAGTTGGATATAAAATTTTAAGATAACAAGCCTAGAATGAGATATAGTTTGAAATTTTTGCATCAACTTTATTCAATGCTTTCTTCATAGGATATTATTACCTTTCTTTAGAATACCAAGTTTATTCAAATTATATTTTCAAGTTAATTACATGTGTTTATCAATAATTTACCATTCACTCTTTTTTTAATGAAGCTAGTCTTAATGTTTTAAGAGTTGGGGGTCAAGTTCTTACAAAGAGTAAGAATACAGATTTTCATGTCATTAATATTAATAGAAAATATGGATGCATATTCAACTTTGGTTATACTCTATTTGTGTACATATATACATAAACCTGATATTTTATACTTTAATACATTTTACATTCTCTCTACATAAGGGTATTTCAAAAAATTCATGGAAAAATAGAATAAAAAGATAATGCAAATCTTTCTCTGAGCTTTTTGATGTATCCTTATACACACACACACACACACACACGCACACATGTATTATATGTGCATTTACTTTATTATGTCTTTAACCAGCAAGAACAATGAGAAAGTTCATGAATTCTGATGTAGTTGGATTTTCTGTACTCCAAATGATTAGGGCATTTCACTTTCATAAGTATTTAAATATTTTTCAAATTTCATATATCACACCAAAACCGGTTCTTTTTAAACACTCTCAGAGTAGAATACTAAAGAAAAAATTGTAAATCAGTAAACGTTTAAGGGCTCTTTAATATGTTAAAGGTCTTGAGTTAGCCTGTAAAATCTGTAAAAATGAATAAAGCATAGCTCCCACTCTTAAATGATATATAGTCAATAGTATGATAATAAAAGATATGCTAAATATACAAATCACTATAATACAAATCAGAATATAATGCCTGTTATTTAAAAGCATAAAAGGAATAAAGTCATTTGCCTAAAAGAAAAAAAGCTGTCTTAAAAAAGAATAAAGAAGAAATACATTAATATGGTTAAAGGCCCTTTTACAATAGATCATAGAATTTTGAAGCAAGAAGTTTACTAAAAGTAAGAAAAATTATGAATAGTAAAATGCAGAAACATTGCAATAAAAAAATTTTAAGTGCTATTTGAATTTTATTTCCTAGTTAACATTGTTGAGGAAATAACGAGCAGTAAAGCAAGTTTTCCTCAGCTGATGATGTAATGCAATTTAGCTAATGTTTGTTTCTTAACTGAAACCCACATCTGATCTTAATCCAATAACTTGAAACAATTTTCAGTAAATCCCATTTGCAGCCTGAGGCAATTGCAGTTCAATTAATATCACTGACAGTGAGGTGGCCAAAAGGAGGGCTGAGCCCCCCATGGCTTAGCAAGAAGTGCAAACTACAGGTTCTTTACCAATTACCTCACCAAATAGAGATTTTTATTAGTCAATTAGCATTGCCTCACCCTATGCCATTGATGATACTTAACAAAAACCCCTTTTTGTGAAATGGTAAACAAAATGAAGAGGCAGAGAATTTTAGCCTTTGAAAAGCTCAGCTCAGTTTGTTGTATGTTCCCATGGGACGTTCTTTTATGAGTTAAGAGTTGGAAATGTAGCAGGAGGAAAATGGCATTTAACAATAGTAAATACCTGTCTGCTTCTCTTTGAAGGTTACAACCTCACACCATACAACTTCTGGGAATCTCCTTCTCAGAACAAGAATTTGGCACTCACTGGCAGCGGCATATCTGCTTGCTTTAATAACAAACTCCAGCATTTTTCACAAGTCAAAGTCAGAATATGCAGACTTGTCAGCCACAAAGATGATCTTTAACTTATTAACTGAGAGAATATTATATGGAACTCATTAAGAAGAAATACCTAATAAATTCTGCCTTGGACTATTATAAAGCCTCTTTTTAAACACAGCTGCACTCTTCTGGTTCTTTCATTTGTATGCTCAAAAGACCTTTCATTCAAAAATCACTAGTTTACAATCAATCCACTGGCATCTTGGAAACTTTCAAATTTTTAGATGAATTAATTTAAA